CTAAACCTTCATCATCTTCATCGCCATCAGTCGGTTTCCACTCTTCTTCCTTTTTCCTCCTCTCTTCCTCCATTTCCCTCTCAGCCGCTCGAGCCTTTGCTTTTTCGAGTCTAGCATTAACTGTTTCCCAAGATACAAGCTTCTCCATGAACACTGATATGTAATCTGCCCGTCGATTCTGCCGGAAGAAAAGATTTTCGTAGTTTTTTAGATTCATTTGACAACATTACATCGGAACCAACAAATAAATTCTTCATCACACGTCCAAGTAATTAAAGGTAATTAAAGGTAATGAAAACTTCACCTGAAAGTCGATGTAATAAGCATGCTGTCGACATAGAACATATCCCACCAGTGGAATTAGTATTAGTTAAATGAATAATTCGGGAACAAATTAATATCAGATTGTTCAAACCGAAACAAAAATGTCGTACCTCCCAGACATCAATGGTGAGGAGTGGCTGTGGAAAATAAACAGATGATAATGTTAAATGCATCAATCTAATAAATATAATAGCATCTGCAAATTGCTTTCTACATTAGCTAATATACATATATGGTTGTAAGATTAATTAGGAGCGTGTAGGTACTCACAAAGTAGTCCCAAACAAGTGGATTCACAGCATTTGGACTTTTCACAATTACGAGCTTCTTATCATTTTCCGATGACCAAGGATTCACTGCGTTTTCCACACCAAGCCTATTTGCTTTGTCTGGGTAAAATTGACACATTACAGTCCAAATTATGCTAAGAACTAGAGAATTTTAATGGAAAGAAGTAAAGATGTCATTCTAAGAGGTCACATACACGCAAGCCATGCCCAGCCAGAACCAAACTGTGTAGCTGCAGCAGACTTGAACTCTTCAGTAAATCGTTCAAAAGAACCAAAATCTCTTTTGATCAGATCTAGAAGATCCCCGGAAGGCTTTCCTCCACCACCTGGTCTCATTGATTCCCAGAAGAAATCATGGTTCCAGGCCTGCAAACAGGTTATAAAACTTGAAGGAAAAAAAAAACATAATATGCAATTGGATATTCACATTTGCATGACATATATGGATATACCTGTGCAGCACTGTTGAATGCAGGGAGTATGTCACCCCTGTTGTAAGTAACACTGATAATGTCTTCCAAAGACAGCCCTTCTAGATCTGTTCCTAAGACTTGCTTGTTTAGGTTCTTCACATAGGTTCTATGATGCTTTCCCCAATGATACTCCAGGGTTTCTTGGCTCATATGGGGTTCCAATGCATTCTGGGAATATGAAGAAATAACAAAATTTTAACATTCTTTGCACGTCAGTTTATTTCTCTGCATCATTTCTTATTTTCCTTGGACCTCGGACATGAACATTAACAAATGTTAGATGATTTCTCCAAACAAAGTAACATATTATATCTCCAACAGGCAGCAACAAGTCCGCTATCGGAATAGAGGCCGTTAGATAGCGGTAACGGTATCATCCGAAACTGCTATTGCATTACCGTGATATCCACAATAACTGCAATAACATCCATTATGTTCGCAAGCACAATAAACGCAATGCGACCACAACGTCGATTTAAATCCTTGGGTCTAACTATACCCCATTAACACCCACTGGAAGCTACTAAAAAAAGATTGAATTTTTCAATGAAAACGATACAAAAAACATAACTTTTGAGTTTTTTTTACCAGGGGATATGGAGGTGGCTTCAGCTCATATGTTGCCGCTATAACATTTGAAGCATCTTTCCTCAGAATGCGTCTCTGCAACAGACAAAATAGTTTCTTTGGCTAAGAAATGTAAATGAGATAAGAAAGATCCCGAACTACTCGAGTTAGACTTATCAAAACTCGATTAACACTCATTTCGAATGGACTAGACTCAAACTCAAACACGACTTGAGTTCACGAACCAAAACAAACAACTTGATACCTAACCCGAAAAGCTGCCAAACGAAAAAAATAATATAATGAAATTTTAATTTTTAAAATTAAATTATTAATAATATTAACATTTGTACATTGTTTTTCTTTATAAACACGAAAGTTCAGGATCGAATGAACCGAGCTCGAGTTCAAACTTTCAATTGAGTTAATTCTGACAATGTTTAGAGTTAAAGATTTTTAGCTCGAGTAGACTTTTAATTTTTTTGATTGAGTTCCAATCAGGCTTGACAATTGTTCGAACTTAGTAAATAATAAAACTCGTGCTCGACTCTGTTCGTTTGTAGCTATGGTAAGAATGCGGCTATGGGATGAAAACAAATTAATTCTAGCAAATGCAAGTAGCTCAAAAACTAGAAAGCTCTTTAACATTGAGACATTTCGTCGAACACGATGGGTACATCACTCCACATCCCATTTTCCAACCCAAAATCCTCTAAACAAAAGAACAGATGAGAGGATACACAGTATGGATAAATGGGAAGGCAATGGAGCAAAGCAGAACCTGGGCTTTCATACACGGGTGGCTACGAGTGGGTAGGCGAAGTCCTGGTTTTCACAAGCTCCACTGTTAGCTAATAGACAGAGAGGAAGAAGAGGGTAACGATGGTGGCAAAAGTAGTAGGAGTAACCTTGGGAAGGAAATGTGAAGCTTGATGAAGCAACCATTGAAGCAGCTGCCGCCATTCTTACAGTGGGTTTCTTTTGAATTTTTTTTCCTTTCTAATTTTCTTTTTAGAAATGGTAAATAATAGAGAAGATGGAAGCCGAGATAAGGGTAAATTATAAATTTAATCACTTAACTTTACTCTTTCACCTATTCTGTTCATTGATCTTTAAAAGTTTTCAATTTTTTTAATAAATTTAATATATTAATATTTCTTATCATTGAACTTAACTCTCTCTCTCCTATTTTAATTACTCTAAACCGTTATATTTTTAAAGGCTATAAAAACGATGCAGTTTTAAAAGAAACAAAATTTTCACAAAAATAACGTCTTTTGTATCTATATAACAATTTATTTTAACACCGTTAATTATTTAACGATCGAGTGACCAAAAAACACAATGTATCAAGTTTAATAAGAAAATTGAAAATGTTTAAAGTATAGTGAGTGAAATAAGAATGAAAGTAAAATTTAGTTTTTAAATTTGTAATTTACCCCTGAGATAAAAGAGGTTTGAAAGTTTAACTACGATATAAGCGATTTAATTTAAGCAACTTAAGGTCGCCACGCTAGATTTTTTTGGGTAAACTAAGCATTTAATACTTAGTCTATCAATTTTGGTATGTTTTAGTACCTAAACTTATAATTTTTTTCAAAGTTATACCTAATGTTTAGTTTTTATTTTATTTTTAGTATGCACCATTAAAAAACTTAACATGTTTAGTACCTAAACTATCAGTTTTGATCCATTTTATTATCTAAGCTTTCAATTTTTTTCAAAATCATGTCTATCGTTTAGTTTTCATTTTTGTGTCTATCATTAAAAACTTAACGTGTTTAGTACCTAAACTATAAGTTTTAGTTTGTTTAGTACCTAAACTTTTATTTTTTTAAAAATTTAATGTTAAATTTTGAACGGAGTACAAAAATGAAACAATAACTAAACTTTAGGTACTAAAACATATCAAAATTGATAGTTTATGTACTAAATGTGTAATTTACCTTTACTTTTTATATAAAAAATATTTTGATGAAGTACACAAATAGTCCATCGACTATACAACAATGTTATATTAAATTCTTCGACTATTAAAAGTTACAAAATGATTCTTTAACTATTTGTTTTGAAGACTCCCAACCTTTACTCATTTAACAACAATTCCTTTAATTGTTGACGTAGTTTAATTTATACAAATTAAAATTATTCTTTATCTTATGTGAAAAAAAATTGCATTAAATTTGTTGATAAAAGTAAATTTTATTTATATATTTCGAATGGTTTGCCTCTTTTGATTTGGATAGAAAATTGTAAAGTGAAAATATAGTTGTTAATCGAAGTTTTTATATAACATATGAATGGCCATGAGAAGTCGATGTTTTTATTCGATAGATAAATGGTCATGAGAAGGAGAACAGAGAGAAGAAAAAGAGTGGTTGTTAGGGTGCGAGCCCTTTTCATAGCTACGTTGAGTTGTATTTATAGTGATTTTTTGTGCGTGTATTAGTAAACTAGGTAAATTTACTGGTTAAATTATAAATTTTATTCTTAAAAATTATGTGGGTATGTTAGAGATATTATCTAAAGGCATTGTCTATTTATTAGGACTGATTTAAAAACTTCATAGTTCCTTCTAAATGAATGCAATCTTATCTTTGATAGAAGGGGTAAATCACGTGTTCAGTATCTAAATTATTAATTTTAATATGTTTTAATATCTAAATTTTTAATTTTTTTCAAAACCATACTTAAATTTTAGTTTTTGTTCAGAATTTAACATTAAGGGGTTGTTTGTTTACTTCAGAATGATTAAGTACTGAATGATTCAAATGTTGAATGATTCAGAGACTCGAGATGAATTATCTCTGAATGTGACATGTTTGTTTACTGACTCTGAATCATTTAGAATGTACTTCTGTGCTGAATAATTCAGCACTGTTTTGCTAAATCAGTTAACACTGAATCATTCAAAGGTGCGAAACAAACGCACTGAATGTTGAACGGTTCAGCATTCAACGCTGAATGATTTCATTAAGAGGTAAACAAACAGCCCCTAAGTTTTTAAAAAAAATAAAAATATTAAGTACTAAAACGGATCAAAACTAATAGTTTAGGTACTGAACACTTTAATTTTTTAATGACGAGATATTAAAATAAAATAAAACTAAATGTTAGAAATGATTTTTTTTAAAAAAAAAATTAAAAGTTTAAGTACTAAAACAGATCAAAACTTAATATTTTAAGTACTAAATACACAATTTACCCTAAAAAATATACGAAATTGAAAATAATCATTATAAATAAGAATCGAATCAGAAATCGACATTAGGGTTCGATTATGATTTTGATATTCCAGTTTCTTGCTAAGCTTGATACATTTCTGAAATCAAACCAGGCCATCAACTCGTTTCTCATCAACCGCATTGGAATTTCTTGAGTCCTACGACTTTCCATGGTTTCACTTTCATCACACGTGCTCCGATATTTCCGAAAACCGGCGTGCTTCGATCTATGCCCAAACTCGTTTACGGGGAGCGAGATCCGATGTTTTTATCGCATCGATCTTGGAAGCCACGATGAAATCGTTCAAGCTCAAGCCAACGGTGAGCAAAGGGCAATGCAAAGCAATTCATGGAAGGGGGATGATTTTCGTAGGCAGCTAAAGGAAAAACAGTAAGTCGGAAAGTTTACCGATCGACGAAGTCCATAGCTCAGCTCGGACTTGATTCGGTTCTTCCAAGTGGATACTTGGAAAATGACCGGTGGCCTCCGTAACCTTATAGATCCGATTGACGAGTTCGACTCCGGATTTGAAATCTTTCAATTTCCACAAACACCGCAGTTTAAGTCCACCTTCTTCATCCAACAGCCTCCAGCCAACAACCTACAAGCAACAGCTATTCTCATCAACTCATTCTCAGTAATAACTAAAGATGCTTATACAAAATGTTATCAGCATAGTATCTTTCCATTTCAATACGACTTAAAAGCTTGCTTTAAAAGGATGAATGTTTTGGCCGGCGGCCGGAAAATCTTTAATCGAAATGTTAGAATCTAGCCGGAGATTTGCAGCACTAAATCAGGGTCTTCAAGCCGCTAATATAAGACATGAGTTATTCTAAACATACATTTGCAGCCCTAAATCAAAGTATGGTTGTAAAATAGACGAGAGAGATCACAGCTAATTGAGTTCGATACAGTCAAAACTCAATTAATACTCAAATTGAATGAATACGACTCGAGTTTAAACTCGACACGAATTCTTAATGAGTCAAAACAAGCTAATTGATATCTGACCCGAAAAACTCGCTAGCAACTCAAAAAAATAACATATTAAAATTTTATTTTTTAAGATTAAATTATTAATAACATTAACATTTAGGGTAAATTACGTATTTAGTATCTAAACTATCAACATTAGTCCGTTTTAGAATCTAAACTTTCAATTTTTCAAGTTATACTTAAAGTTTAGTTTTTGTTTCATTTTAGTACATGTTTAGAACTTAACATTAATTTTTTTTAAAAGTTCAGGTACTAAAATAGATCAAAATTGATAGTTTAGGTACTAAACATGTTAAGTTTTTAACGGCACGTACTAAAATAAAATGAAAACTAAACGTTAAGTATAAATTTGAAAAAATAAAAGTTTAAATACTAAAACGAGCTAAGGCTAATAGTTTAAGTACTAAACACATAGTTTATCCTAACATTTATATGTTTTTATAAAAAAAATGTAATATAATGCATTTATGTACCTTTAGGTTTGAGTTTAAATAGAGTTTGAACTTCGAGTTAAGTTTGAGATTGTTTCAGGTTCAAATTTTTTTCGAACTCGAGTCGAGATTGACAATTTTAATCCTCAAGCTTTCGAGTCGAGTTCAATTTTAAAATTATTGAGTCGAGATGAGTTAAACAATACTAGAGCTCCGGTCGACAAGTTTACAGCCCTAAATCAGAGTCTTCCAAGCTGCTAATGCAAGACATGAGTTGGGGTTTCCTAAGCACGGAATTACGATAATTTCCACACCCTAAATTTGAAATTCCAAAACAGACTGCCAAAACTAATGAACAGTAACTTCTAATTTGAAGGATTGCTAAAGCACCAACGAAGCTAACAACGGAAACTAGAGAAAAGCAATTCAATCCCAATTAACATGAAATCACCATCAAGGGGGGGGGGGGGAAGGGAGAAAGGGTAGTTGCAAAATCACCTTCTTCAACAGAGCCTTAGCATCATCGAGGGACATGGGAGGCTGCAAAGGAGAATCAGGGGAGCAATCTTGCTCGGCAGGGGAGAGAGCCGTGGCATTGGGAATAAGGATCTTATGCTCGGTGTCAACATTTCCCAACACTTTCTCGGCAAACCCACTAGCTATTTCGGCCGGGAAAGGATCCCGAGCCCCGAAATCACCCAAGAAATCATCGGCGCTAATGGCTCGAGTTCTGAGGAAGACTCGACTCTGACCCTGAGTTGACGGATAAGGAAAAGCAGTGACCGAGTGGTGGCGCGGAGAGGAGGAGATAGGAGGAGAGTGAGGGGGAGGTGAGCTGCGGAGGTGGAAGCCATCGGAGGTGAGCAGTCTGTGGTGTTTGCCTTATCTGGTCCCTTGAAAAGTGTTTCAAGCACCTTTAAAGCTGCGGCCCTCAACTCTAGTTTGGTTGGTTCCTAACCATTCAATCTGCTAGTGGCTGGTGCCGGACGTGCAAATCAAAGGAAACTTTGCAATTGGGTAAACTACTATTTTGGTCACTAATGTATTTGTTTGGTTTTATTTTGGCCATTGAACAATGAATTTTATCAATTAAATCATTTAATTATTAAAATAATTTATGAGATGACTATCTAGCTCAGTTGGTAGAGCACAAGGTTCTTAACCTTGAGGTCGTGCGATCGAGTCTCACGGAGGGCATTTCATAATTCGGATGTCTTCTACGGAAGTTGCTCTCAACCTGGTGTTGGGGGCAGCCTACTATCTTACCTCTCCCTTACCCCATTACATATGGGAACAAGGGACAACCAATTATTAAAATAATTTCAGTCAAGCCACTAACTGTTAATTGTCAACAAAAATACGAAAATTCAATAAATTTGTATAGAATTATTGATATTGAAGTTAAATAAATTTATATAATAATATATTTGATTTTTTTATTTATATATTCTATTAATTTAATCTTAATTTTAATCGAAAATAGTTTAATCATTCTTCAATGAGATGGAAGTACGTGTCATAAAGATACTTGTGGAAGAAAATTCAGGTGGAAATAAGAGCATTCAAACATAAGAGGCATAGCCTAGTTCAATACCTGGTTCATAGTTGACAATATTTTATATTATATTATTGGTGAAAATTAAAGGAAATAAAAATGATATTAAAATGGTATAGATACACCTAACCACTCAGCCATGTTTAGTTTATGGTTAATAACATTTTATATAAGTTATTATATTGACATTATTAATATCCAGTGACGGATCCATAAATAATTTTTAGGGTGAACGCACATATGTTGACAATAGAAAATTTTTAAATAGGGTATGTACAAATAAAATTTTAGGATGGACATCGTAAAATAAGTAACTTATCAAAGCAAACTCAGATTTCAAGGTGGGCACGAAAAATTTTCAGTGGAAACTATCAGTAAAATAAATAATTAATCGAAGAAAATTCGAATTTCATAATAGACAAGGCACTCTCACCGAGCTATGACTCCGCCACTGTTGGTGTTCGAATTAGACACATTCCTTATACAAAATGACCACACATGCTCCGCTTATGTCTGCATCATCAACACCCAATGAATATTTCACTACAATATTTGCATATTTGCCTCTTTTAACCTGATTTGAACCCAAACCATATGCAAAGATCAGATGAATGTATCCCTTCAGACTCCAGCAAGCTCACAATTCGATAAAAATAAAAATAAAAAAGCCGGCCAGCCCTTTGGCAAGCTAATCGGAGTTCGACTTCCTCCGTTCGTAACAACAACACAATGAAGCGATCGCCATCTCGAAATTCGCAACTTTTGACATTGCGAGACCCATTCTAATACGGTCTGTATCTCGTAGGGCGCCTGAACCTTGGAAGCCTCCTGAAAATCATTCGATAACAGGGTTATCTATCCAGCGGAAAATCTCGTATACACGGAAGTGAAAGGATCTCCCTGTGCTGGATAGCAGAGATCGTAATAGGTATAATTCCGAAGCACATGGAGATCCTTTTTACAGAAAATAAAAACCAACACTGTTTCTAAAAGCCCGAGGAGAAATCAAATGTCAAGTTATCCTTTTTACCATGCAACAACCAGACAAAGAAAAAGTGTTGGCATGCTTACCCATAGCTATATGGAGGATAGAACACAGGAGCCGGCATAAACGGTCTTCGGGAGCGGAAATATGGGTTGGGTCGCCTTCCTCGATATTGTTTCATTCCAGGAACATTTGTTCGTTTCGCAGAAACCTGCGAGTAAGATAAACACGCTCTTTATCATCATGCACGTCACATGAGTGACGTAATAATCCACAAACTAATCAAGTTATAAACCTTCAATTGACGACCGTGCAATTCTGATTCACTTAAAAGCACAGCGTTTTGAACAGCATCAGTTTCAACAAATTCAACATAGGCAAATCCTTTGGGCTGGCCAAACTTGTCGGTCAAAATTGTCACTCTGTTAACTGTTCCACAGGACTGGAAATGCTGTTGAACTTCCTCAGGGGAGCAAGCGTAGTCTACCTGTTGTTACAAAGATATAAAAAGAAACAAAAGGTTAGCCCGCATCGAGTTACACTACATTACATCGAGGCCATTTTAATTATACACCTCAACAATCTATAAGTCAGCTAAAGAAGCCAAACGATGTATAACGACATGAAAAACTACATTGGCATTTCCTCATAATAAGTTCTTAAGGGTCAAACTTGTTTAAATAACAATGAACATGTTGTATTCTCCATGGAGATGCAAATAACAACTATGTTACTCGGAAGTATCAGATAAGGATCGGACACAGGTATGATAGTTTTTCTAAGTTTTCCATGCATTTGGAGAATCCTTGGAGGTCGACTTGGATGCTTAGCTACATTCACTTCAAAATAATGAAGAGTCGAAGAAGTATAGCATTTTCAAGCCAATATGCACAAGCATAAAACATAGTAAGGTAGAAATCAAACTGGTAAATCTCTTCTTATCATCAAGATATGAATTCGACTGACATTTAGCCAAGAAAACAGATAAAAAGGCTCGAAATATATATTTTCTTTGAAAAGGACATCGGAAAGGATTGATAAACCTCACATTACCGACATAAATCGAGCGAGAATCAACTTCCTCCTTCTCGGCTTGGGTCGCAGAAGTACCTGCGGAATCTTCGTATACATCCGGGAAAAGAAAGCAGAATCAAATCAGTTTCCTATAAATAATAATTCAAACACAACATTCCATAATTCAAAAATGAATATTCAAAATCGATAATATTTTATATTTTCTGTATGTAATTTTATCGATAATTTGTTTTCGACCTTCTAACATTTTATAAATTCGATCTACACTAAAATTCTATAAATTCGTTTCCTAATATAAAATCCTATATCGTCCTTGTTTCTCAATTAAAGACAATTAAATCTAAATCAAAGTAAAAGCTGTTTTAAAATATAGCCAAAAAAATTCAGATCGAATACAATTTTCTTTTAACGAATTGGTTGTACGTTATGTTTCAGGGTAATAAAATTCAGAGGTGCTCTTGTCCTCCTTCCGATGTCCTTCATGTTACTGATATAACATGAAGGATATGAAGGGGGTTTTAATGAGGCCTAAGTTCTATCAAAAAAAAAAAAACCTTGGCCACCGCCCATTTCCTTCTGGACTTTAGACTGTATTTCACGTAAAGCTCCGGCCTCATCTTCGATCTCCTTAAGTCTCTTTTTCATTTCCTCCAAGTCCTAAAATCAGATGTTTTAAACATTTTCCCCCATTAGACACAAAGCTCAAGCTAAAGCCTAGGGAAAAGGGGCTAAAAAGTAAAGAAAAGAGGGCAACCTTGGAGTTGGAATGAGGATCATGCTGGAGATCAAGATCGTTGCCTTGGTAATCTTCAGCTCCACCAGGCATGTCCACGTCGGCGTCCATCTCACCTTCCTCATCGGGAATCTCCCCTCCGTACACCTCGGGCTCCTGCTCTTCGTGTTGCTCCATCCTCTCCCTTTCTTTCTCTTGGGTTCCGATAGTGAAATCGATCAAATTAGGGTTTTGAATTAAGGTCTCTTAATGGAATTCAAACAAAAACGAAAGAGAACGACGGTGGCTCTGTGACTATGTTTCTTCCATGGAATATATTGGCAGAAGGCTAAATTTGTATTTATAACTAATAGTTGGGGGTAGTTCTGGGTTTTCCCTTCTGCTAAAATAAGAGGCCTGGTTTTAGATTAGTTTTTGTAGTTTACTGTAATATCCTTCACGTTACATTTCACAAAATCGGATTAATTTTGTTGGGTAAAATCACTAAATTATGCTCTAAATTTTTTTTATCATAAAAGCTTTAAATATTTTAAAATAATTATTAAAATTTTACAAAATTTTAATTTATGGTAAATAAGTTAATTATATTGTTTTCACTTTTTTATTATAGGGTAAATTACATGTTTAGTATCTAAATTGTCAGTTTGATCTGTTTTAGTACATAAACTTTTAGTTTTTTTTAAAATCATACCTAAAATTTAATTTTTATTCCATATTATAACTATGTTCAAAATAAAACGTTATGTTTAAAAAAATTGAAAATTTAAGTACTAAACGGACCAAAACTGATAGTTTAGGTACAAACGCGTTAAGTTTTTAACGATGGGTGCCAAGACGAAACAAAAGCCAAACGTTAAGTATGATTTTGAAAAAAAAATTGAAAATTGAGATACTGAAATGTGTAATTTTAAAAATTTTATTTAAAATTAAAAAAATAAAATTATATATATATATATATAAAGTGTCGCAGTTGTCTTTCGATTGGTCCAGAATTGGGCTTCGACTTGAAATAAAAGTGTTAGAGTCTCCGCCGATCATTTTAAAAATAAATTTTAAGTTGATCGGACAACATCTTACCTGATTTGTGTTTTACCAGACATATGTCGGATTCAAGAGTCGGTTACAATCAATGAATGATTAGCACCCTTGAACTACCTTTTCGGTACCATTTAATTTGTCGGGTCTCGTAATTGCAAAAATTAAAATTAAAATTTAAAAATTCAATTCGAATTGATTACCTTTGATTGATTGAAATTACTACTGACAAAGTCAAAAATAATGTTAAATTAAAATAAAAATATATTAAATAAAAAAGGTTAAAAAAGGGTTAAAAATAAATAAATAAAAGAGAAAATCGCCTCAGTGACCAAAAAAAAAGTTATAATATACGATTTTAACCAACTTTTTTGGATTTGCCAAAATGACCAACAAAATCGCAACGCGAAATAAAAATCGCAACGCGATCCCCAGAATCGCAAATCAGTTTCCAAAATCGCAACGCGATTCTTGAAAATCGCAATGCGATAGTACAAATTCGCATTGCGATTTTCCAAAATCGCAACGCGAATATGAAAATCGCAACGCGAACACATAAATCGCAACGCGTATCCGTAAATCGCAACGTGTATCCGTAAATCGCAACGCGTATGGGTAAATCGCAATGTGTATCCGTATATCGCAACGCGTATCCGTAAATCGCAACGATAATACATAAAATCGCAACGCGTATCCGTAAATCGCAACGCGATATTTAAAGCGCCATTATAATCGCTACGCGTATTTTATTTTCAAATTACAAAAAGAATATTAAGACAAAATCCCGTAATCGCAACTCATAACCTAAAACCTAAAATCACAACTCAGTCCCATCTCCATCTCTCACTCTCTACGGCGAAGAAATCCGTCCCCATCTCCGAAGATTTCCGTCCCCATCTCCGGCGAAATCCCTCACAACCATTCACGGTCATAAATCCCTCACAATATTCAGAAATGGAAAATCAACCTCCGAGGGTTAGTTTTTTTAATTATTTTTATTTTGAAATGTTTGCATTATTGTAGGTTTTTCATATTGAAACTGATGATAAGTTTACTGGTCATTTCAATAATAGATTAACCATTTCACTTAGATTTCATTTCGCGTTACGATTCTGTCGTTGCGATTTTCATTTCGCGTTGCTATTCTCTCGTTCCGATTTTCAAGTTAGTATTTGTCTTTGTCTTTGTTCTGTCTTTTGGTTGAAGTAATGCAATCCATTCAAGTTTCAATTTGCAGAAGAGTCGCAACGAGATAAATGAAAATCGCAACGAGAGAATGACTGTCGCAACGAGAGAAATGACAATCGCAACGAGAGAATCGCAACGCGAAATGAAAATCGCAACGAGAGAATCGCAACGCGAAACCAAAATCGCATTGCGATTTTCATTTCGCGTTGCGATTCTCTCGTTGCGATTTTCATTTCGCGTTGCGATTCTCTCGTTGCGATTGTCATCTCGCGTTGCGATTCTCTCGTTGCGATTTTCATTTCAACCAAAAGACAAAACAGTGTTGCAAATTTTAGTTTCAAGAATAAACTACTACTTTTTATGTTTATTGTTTTTGGTATATCTTCACAGTGTAGTTTTTGGTATATCTAACTTGGTATGTTTATTGTTTTTGTAGAAATTTTTTTCGGCTCAATTGACCTTGAGAAATAAAGTCAGCCTGGCCACTACAATTGCAAAGAAGCTTTCACCTGCTCAAAGACAATTGTTTGAGGAAACCTGCTTCGGGCCATGGCTGAGAGTACAGCATCCGGGTGGAGATGCTAATTTGACCCATTTGTGGCTTCAGACCATGACATCAAATCTACCCGACAGTATACAACGTGGTGAGGAAGAGATATGGTTTCATTTTCCACCAGCGTATACTTGTTTTGGGCGGAAGGAGTTCTGCTTAATCACTGGTCTACGATTCAGACACGATGATGTAGGCCGGTACACTCGTCATATCGCCCACCCATCATGGTTATCCCGGGTTTTTCCGGATGAGTCAATGGAGAAGCCGAACCTACATGTCGACGACCTGAAGAAATTGTTTAATAAGAAAGCTGGTTTCACTCGGATGGATGACGTCGATGTTGTCCGAGTATGCCTTCTACTACTTGTGTATGCCGGCTTTTTAGGCAGAGAGGCCAGACAACCTATTCATCGGGAGCTAATAATATTGGTAGAGGACCTGAATGCATGGAATCTGTTTCCGTGGGGTTCGTATATATGGAAAGCTACCTGGACTAAGTTGTCGTCTGCCTTTGATGACCGCAAAAGTTTGCGGGGCGATGGGTCCAAATACACTTTGTCAGGCTTTGTTTGGGCCTTTAAGGTAAGAATTTCTATATAATGTTTCTAAAATTATAATTAATTATTTAACAATTACTAATTTTGTTATTATATTGTTTGTAGATTTGGATATTCGAGGCTTTCCCCAGCATGCGTACATATGCAATAAAAACGTCAAATGATATTCCCAGGGCTATTTCCTGGAAGAGGAAAACTCTGTTGGATTGGGAAGACTTAATACCATATGCCACAATAAATAATGTAAGTTAACACAAATACTTTCATATAATATATAAACAAGTTATTAATAGTAGACGTTTAACTTTGTTTGAGTTTTTATATTTTAGGAGGCTAACATTCCATTACAAAGACTGACACCCACGGAGGAAGAGCTTGCCACTGATTGGTGGCAAGCTAGTCAGAATTTTTTTGATGGCACGGATGATGAGCAGCATCCACTTCCTCCAATTCGAGAGCCATCACCTCACTAGAGCCATCACCCGATCGACCCGACTATACACCTCTAGAACGAGAGCCATCACCTATCCCGTCACATCATCGAGCCTCTTCTCCACCATCACCTCATGATAGGCGACCGGCAAAGATGCCACGACTCCTATCTCCCTGTTCTCCACCTCCACCTCAACGGGATGAGTCAAGGGAGTTACGTGATGAGGTCAATGCCTTGCGTGAGGAGATCGGTACTCTACGCGATAACGATGGTGCATGGCGTGTGGAGGTGTCAACTTTACGTGGTGAGGTTGCCGCTCTACGTGAGATGATAGTATCGTTGCAGAATGAGGTTCATACTCTACGCAACGAGGTAAGTTTAAGATTTTCCATATTTAACTTAATGATAAATTTACTCGTAATTTCACTTAGATTAGCCATTTCACTTAGATTGCTTAGTAAATTTATTCGGTTGCTGCCAATTCTGCTAAACTGTGTATTCTTTAACACTGTGAAATAGTATTTGTCTTTGTTTTGTCTTTTGGTTGAAAGTAAATTTGTTCGGTTGCTGCCAATTCTGCTAAACTGTGTATTCTTTAACACTGTGAAATAGTATTTATCTTTGTTTTGTCTTTTGGTTGAAAGTAAATTTGTTCGGTTGCTGCCAATTCTGCTAAACTGTGTATTCTATAACACTGTGAAATAGTATTTGTCTTTGTTTTGTCTTTTGGTTGAAAGTAAATTTGTTCGGTTGCTGCCAATTCTGCTAAACTGTGTATTCTATAACACTGTGAAATAGTATTTGTCTTTGTTTTGTCTTTTGGTTGAAAGTAAATTTGTTCGGTTGCTGCCAATTCTGCTAAACTGTGTATTCTTTAACACTGTGAAATAGTATTTGTCTTTGTTTTGTCTTTTGGTTGAAAGTAAATTTATCCATTCAAGTTTCAATTTGCAGAAGAAGAAATAGTTTACTTTCGCAACACGAAACTTAAAATCGCAACGCGAAACCAAAATCGCAACGCGAAATGAAAATCGCAACGACAGAATCGCAACGCGAAACCAAAATCGCAACGACAAGATCGCAACGCGAAACCAAAATCGCATTGCGATTTTCATTTCGCGTTGCGATTCTTTCGTTGCGATTTTCATTTCGCATTGCGATTCTGTCGTTGCGATTTTCATTTCGCGTTGCGATTTTGGTTTCGCGTTGCGATTTTAAGTTTCGTGTTGCGAAAGTAAACTATTTCTTCTTCTGTAAATTGAAACTTGAATGGATAAATTTACTTTCAACCAAAAGACAAAACAAAGACAAATACTAACTTCAGGGTATTAGTTTGAAACATATTTTTCTTTGTTATCTGATGCATTTTGTGAACTATGATAGAATAATGACTTGGGTGAATACAATGCAAGTTTGAAACATATTTGTCTTTGTTTTCATTGTTTAAATATCATGTCTGTTTATTTACTGATTTTTGTATTTAATTATTTAGTGGCCCGATAGAGTGGATGCTTTACGTCGGGTTATGCTT